GATCATCACAAACCCTCCCAGAACTACTGAACTCATGACACAATCCTCATCTCTTCCAACAAGTCTCCAAATCCATGTCCCGTGCCTCATAGCGTCAGGTGAAGCTGGAATGTTAAGCCTCCGTCTCCTGCAGTTAGAACGAAAACATGTCGGACCGTCGTGTCCTCCTCCGGGTCCACAGCGGTCCGTTTCACCAGCTGGCTCCGTGTTTGAAGCAGAGTGTCATCTTAATAGCAGGTCTGTGAGTCTAATGGTGCTGCAGCTGGGCTATTGAGAAATCCCCTCAAGAGCACTGCCACTTCCTCTGCGTTTTCAGAAAGAGAGAGAGAGAGAGAGAGAGAGAGAGAGAGAGAGACCAGCAGCCATGAAACTTTCACTTTTCACTGACAGTCATGGAGTCTTTTGAACTATTAGTCATTGATGAAGAACCAAGACGTGAGGATCCGTCTGAGCGGGTTTTGTGTCCGTCGCTGTATGTTCTCCCCAGTCTTAGGTCCCTGTTCATTTGCGCTTCGATAGATAGACACAGAGTCTCAGGAAAATTAATGATTGTAAAGCACAGAACAACAACTGTTTCTGAGCTACTTATGTCATGCTGCCCTTTACGGTGCGTTCAAATAAAAAACACACATATCAAAGGATGCATCATGGCGTTTTTATTCAACAAAAAATATCCAAAAAGAACCAACATGAAAGTCAGTCAGTAGGTCATGGTACACTTAAAGCTGCACTAACTCACTTTGGTGAAATTTTCAAATGTGAGCGCTGGCTTCGCTCTTCTGCTCGCCCTCCCCGCATTCACCGAGCTATCACCCCTCACTACCCGCCTCCCACTCAGCCTGTGCTTACGTGTTTACGGAGCTCACGTCTCACTATATGGATCGCACATTTGAACGTGGCGTGACCATAGAATGATAGAACCAGGAATCGCGGCGGAACGAGACCACCTTTCTTTTGGCTGTTTCTCTGAGTAAGCAGTAACCGGTAACGAAGACACGGGAAGTTTCAGGTTAGCCTCCGCCGCTTGTTTACCTCAGCTGTCTGTGCTAACCAGAGACCTGTAGCTTTTCTCAAAAAAGTGGGGGCCAGTGGTCCGCTGTGATTGGTCACGATCTGGTCCCGAAACAAATTCTCTTCCTTGTTGCACAAATAATTGGGAAAAGAGTCCTCTGCATTTGACAAGTCTTTAAAGGCCACTAGGACAACCCTTCAGGAGCAGTGGTCGTTTCCCAGGGGCCTTGATGTTGTTGCTCGGCTGAAGCAGGACCTACGCTGGAGGAAACCACAGTGTGCAGGGGAAACCGACGCAGACACAGGGAGGAACATGCAAAGTGACGCACAAATCCTGCGCTGAGTGCCGACTGTGAGACGAGTAAAGGAACCCACAGACTTCTTGCTGTGAACCCTTGGGAGAGCCAGTGTAAGGATCTTGAAGTCCTTTCACTGGCTCCTGTCTCACACTGAACATTTAAAATTCTGGTGTCTTCAAAATCCTGTGCTCTTCAGGGTCAGGCGCCTGAATACATCCAGGGCCTGATCCACCCCTATGTCTCCAACAGAAGCCTGAGGTCCTCCACTCAGAACCTGTTGATGGTCTTGCACTCAGAACCTGTTGATGGTCCCTCGCACTCGTTTTAAAACTTGAGTAGACCGATCCTTCCAGGCTGTTGCTCCTCGCCTTTGGAATGAGCTTCCCCTGTGTCTGCGCATGTTAGAGTCCGTCGATAATTTCAAGTCCCAACTAAGACCCATTTGTTAAGACCGGTTCTCTTCTCACTGTACATAGACCTCTGTGAACTGTATGCGTTTTATTTGTATCTGTATATTTTAAATGTGAAGCGCTTTGTGATCCTGGCTCTATACAAATAAGCGGAACACACTCAGCCACCGTGGCACCACAGACTATAGCCCTCTGTGAGTTCTGAAAGACTTACTCCAACAACAGCTCCGTTCCAATCGGCTTCCAGCTCCGTGCGATGTGAACAGTGCATTTGTCAGGTCTGTGGATGCTCAGGATAAGACCCTGCTCTGGAACGCAGCTTTAAGGAGAGACTCTGGAAACCAGAAACGTGCTTTATTAACACAAGCAGCACCCGGTACAAGCTCAACAAACACTCTCCTCTTGGACTTTAACTTTGCAATGGTACTTTATGACCAGGGGAACAATTCTCTCCTCTTCAAACCCGTGGCCCACTCTCTGTAATGAATAGACTGAGAAAGAGCTGTGAGAATGTGGCAGCCGTGACTCACTCTACCACCTGACAGCTCCAGGTTCACACCATTTATCACATACAGCAATGGGGCATTTTAATGGAAAGCTGAAATATTAATTGATTATTAAACGGAGCTCTGTGGTCTTACATTTCACAGAACGCCTTCACATCCAAGACACATCTGCTCTGGCTCTTGCTTTGCAGGAATCCACGCTCATCTGAATGATTGTGTTATCAGTGATGGCCAGTGCTGGATACTTGCGTTTACTCACACCTAAACTGCAGCAGGAGAAATATTCAGTCATTTGAATTCACACAACAATTCTTGTTCAGAAGGGCGGCCTTCGGGTCCATTCTCTGAAATATTCATAAAACGTGTTATTGAAGTTTGCTGAGTTTTGTTTGCTGCTTCTCTCTCCGACTCTATAAAATATGAAAACTTTTTGTTTTCAAAGGTCGAGCAGTGACCAGTTATTAATCCTTTAAAGATGTCGATGATACCTGTGTGTATTTTGTGATCCTCTCGAACTGGACGTCTGGACATGGATATCACCATGGCAACCATGCACGACCCCCCAGTGTCATTGGTCACATCCTGTCATCACTGTTGTTGTTTCTGTTCTCTGACTTCCTGCTTCAGAGAAGAAAGATGTCTGTCTTGTGTTTTTGAGCTGGAATAGTGGCGAGCCCACAGACATTTGGATCTGGAAGAGCAGATGCTTAATCTTACAGATTTGTTTTTTCTGCCTGCTGCTGTTTTTGGCTGCCTAATGTTAAGTGGATCAATTAGAATCAGCAGAGATCCTGCTAAGCTAATGTTAGCTGGTCTTCCCACTCACTCACCCAGGCTCCAACTGTTGCTGTCTTCCTGGACTTGACAGATGACTGTTTAGTCACCACGGCAACCCTCTACTCTATTTATAGTCAATAATAAAGTTAGACGCCTGTGGAGATGTGTCTGCAGCATGTTTACACAGTGAGTACTGAGCGCCTTCTGCAGCGTTATGTGCACCTACACAGGTGCACATAACAGCACTACACTGGTGCACATGACAGCACTACACAGGTGCACATAACAGCACTACACAAGTGCACATAACAGCACTACACAGGTGCACATGACAGCATTACACTGGTGCACATGACAGCACTACACAGGTGCACATAACAGCACTACACAAGTGCACATAACAGCACTACACAGGTGCACATGACAGCATTACACTGGTGCACAGCACTACACAGGTGCACATGACAGCACTACACTGGTGCACAGCACTACACAGGTGCACATAACAGCACTACACAGGTGCACATGACAGCACTACACTGGTGCACAGCACTACACAGGTGCACATGACAGCACTACACTGGTGCACATGACAACACTACACTGGTGCACAGCACTACACAGGTGCACATAACAGCACTACACAGGTGCACATGACAGCATTACACTGGTGCACAGCACTACACAGGTGCACATGACAGCACTACACTGGTGCACAGCACTACACAGGTGCACATAACAGCACTACACAGGTGCACATGACAGCACTACACTGGTGCACAGCACTACACAGGTGCACATGACAGCACTACACTGGTGCACATAACAGCACTACACTGGTGCACATGACAACACTGGGACACACCTCTAAATGTTCCTTTGTAGAACTAAAGCTGACTATCTAAAGCCTGGTTCACACGGCAGGATATTTAGGCCGATTTAGACCCGATTTACCCCTTACGACAATCTTAAGAAACGCTCCGATTTCCGTAACAAAATCTTACAAATTATCCTGCTGTGTGTGGTGTGTTAAGACTGCACTCGTCGCTCGGAAGGACATCGGGACTGCTCCCGATCTCAAATCGGGGATATCCAACGTGTTGGATTGTTTTGGCCCGATTTCTTGTCGTGTGTGGTGTCCTCCGAGGACAAGCGAGCGCGTTGCCATGACTACGGCGTGTAGCCAATAAGAAGACGAGGTGACAAGCCGGTGAGGAAACACCGGAAAAAAACCAAAACACAGCTGCATGGCTTTGACCATTGCCTTTTCTTTGGATTACGTGTCTTCTCTGTTAACAACAAACTGCACACTATCGCCACTGCATCCTCTTCGTCCGCCATGACTGTTTACTCTGAAGTCACGCTTGAGCTCGAGAGATTTTGTGAGATTTCCGTCTGACCTGGGAATGCTCGGGGGGGGGGGTGTCGGTTCGTGTGTGATGTTTGTGGCTTGCGTGATCTTGCCGTGTGGCTACGCACCACACACTGCACGACCAAAGTGGTTAGACGCAGGATTTTTAATCTCCCCGTGTGGGGTCTAACACGGAGAAAAATCGGCCGACAATTTTAAAATCGTCTCGTGTGAACCAGGCTTAACTGTATCATAGATAAACCATTGCCCCAACAGAAAGAGTCACATAGTGTGGACTAATCAGACCTCGCCATTCAGTCTTCATGTTATTACAAAACATGTGATCTTTTACACTGAGCAAGGGGGGTCCTCACTTTTCACTCATTTCACTCATCAGAACTCACAAACACATGTGAAAACTACAGATGAGCTGCGTGTATGTTGTTACCGTGTTAATGATTTGGTTTCAATAGAACAGTTACTCCAGCTTTATGTTTGTGTTACTGCAGTTACAGTAAAGAGTCGTTACAACTCAGATACTTCCTGAATCTGTTTACCTGCATCACTGCTGTATCGCCTGCGTGGCATTTGCATTTATCCTCAATCAATACTTCAGCTCCTTTATGTGTGCTCTCTCTCATTGCAGTTAACTCATCAATATTTACGGACGACACGGAGAGAAGCTCGTTCTGAAGATGCCGGTGGCCACTTCCTGCTCCGACTCTGGTAAGTGGATGCATCCGGCTGTTGTCACGTCGTCACCCGGAGAGAGGAGGACAGAGTGGGGCAGGACGATCGCTTAGTTCATCAGAATCCTTCACTTTGTCGTAAAAGCATTTGCTCTCGAAGGGCCATTATTGAAGCCGTAGCATGTCATCTTATAGAACAATCTTTGAGTGATGTCGTTGTTTATAGTTTTTACACGTTGGTCACGTGACTAAGTGGCAAAACAGCTGCGAAAGCTACCTGGATGATAGAGAGTTAGCTAAATTTAGACGTTAGGAGAGAGGTTTTACTAAATCAAATGGTCCACTCTTGTTGTGGGGTCGGTTGTACGGCTCGCTGGGGCCAGAAAAAGGTTCGAATTCCTTCGGAAAAGAACAGCAAAAAATGCAATAAATCAGAAGAATGAACGCTCAGGAGAAAGCCTGGATTCTGGGATCAACAGAAAGAAAAACTTACAGTGCCTTGCGAAAGTATTCGGCCCCCTTGAACCTTTCAACATTTCACCACATTTCAGGCTTCAAACATAAAGATATAAAATTGTAATTTTTTGTCATGAATCAACAAGTGGGACACAATCGTGAAGTGGAACAAAATTTATGGGATAATTTAAACTTTTTTAACAAATAAAAAACTGAAAAGTGGGGTGTGCAATATTATTCGGCCCCTTTACTTTCAGTGCAGCAAACTCAGTCCAGAAGTTCAGTGAGGATCTTTGAATGATCCAATGTTGTCCTAAATGACTGATGATGATAAATAGAATGCACCTGTGTGTAATCAAGTCTCCGTATAAATGCACCTGCTCTTTGATAGTCTCAGGGTTCTGTTTAAAGCGCAGAGAGAACCATGAAGACAAAGGAACACACCAGGCAGGTCCTAGATACTGTTGTGGAGAAGTTTAAAGCCGGATTTGGATACAAAAAGATTTCCCAAGCTTTAAACATCTCAAGGAGCACTGTGCAAGCAATTATATTGAAATGGAAGGAGTATCAGACCACTGCAAATCTACCAAGACCCGGCCGTCCCTCCAAATTTTCATCTCAAACAAGGAGAAGACTGATCAGAGATGCAGCCAAGAGGCCCATGATCACTCTGGATCAGGGGTCACCAACGCGGTGCCCGCGGGCACCAGGTCGCCCGCAAGGACCAGATGAGTCGCACGCTGGCCTGTTCTAAAAATAGCTCAAATGGCAGCACTTACCAGTGCTATTCTTGTTTAAATCATACTTACATGCAACTTACAAATGGCATATAAACTAGAGCCGGGACTTTAACAAGTTAATAAAGATTAATTAATTACACACAAAAAAGCGCGTTAAAAAAATTACGCATTTTAATCGTATGTATTTTTGCACCGCGGAACGTTCCTCACTGAATAAGTTTCAGACGGACCAATTGAACTGACGCACCAACCGGAGCTCCGTGACTTTTCTTGTTCAAAAGTACATTATTACAAGCAGAGACCAACTTTAAATTCGAGTAAATTAGACGGGAATGAGCGCTGTGTATGGAGCGATGGACTCTGTGTGTGAGGAGGAGGAGCAGTGACTCCTGTGTGAGCGGAGGAGGAGGAGGAGAAGGAGTAGCGAGACACAGGTGTGTGAGCTGCTAATGCTGATGTTTACTCCGAATGCACCAGTACTACGGTGGCTTTGCAGGACCATAAGTCGTCTTTGAAAATGGTTCCCAACTCCCGCTCAATCTCCTTTTTGTCCCTAATCAACCACCGTATTTCAAGATGGCGCATTGGCATGTACAGTCCTCCAGCTCTCATGGACATTTTTAAGTCAATTTCTAAGCTTTTGACAACAATTCAAAAACAAGATGGCGGTAAATATTCTTATAAAGGTCACATTTATTATGGGTTAACATGTTTTATCATTTGGAGCAACGGTAAAAATCACACAGAGTAACTTTAAGCAGGTTTTCCCACTGAAAGACCTCAGGTGAGACCGCAGATTCTACCTCATCCTTTCAATCTTTTTGTTGAGTCGCCGAATTCTTGAATTGAGAATCTTCATGCAGTAGTTGTTGTTGTAGTTGTCTTGCCGTCTGGCCTGTTTTCTAATGCGTCCTGCTTTGAATATGTTTAGATTTTCACACAGACTTTCACGCAGAGTTGATGTTCAGAGACTCACCCCTGAACTGAAGGGAATGTCTGTACAGTATGTGGCTGCCATGGCATGTTCTACCTCATTTTAAAGATCATTTCTTCAGGACAACAACCATGTGATTTAACCATAGACTCTATATATTAATCATTGAATGCCAGCCTATTTCAGAACAGGTACTCCCACAGTGCCAGCCATTTCTGATGATTTTTACTGATTTTTCAAGACCCACAGAATATTGTGTACTATGACTATCTGAAATCCAACACCAGATTCTAAAAGAATGGACTGTCTACTTTCCTCAGCAAAAAGAATTTTGTTTATAGCTTTTTTCGTTCCCCTGTAATCCTCCGTCGAGTAGAGGGAAGTTTTACTGAAATCACCAGAAATCACCAGAAAGTTGAGAAAAAAGAGGCACAACATGTGCACCTACATGTTTTCAAACCATTCAGAGAGCAATGCTGCCACCTGCTGGCTCGATAAAATATGGTCTCAAGTCATCCCCATACATATTAGATACAATAGACATCTGGGAACGTGAAAATAGCGAAAAAGGCAATTGACGGATTAATCCGTCAATGGCACACGACGTTACTATTTGCTTTGACGTATTTGTGCGTCAATGGGACACAATGAGTTAACGGACGTAGTCACACCTATCTCTGCCGTTCTGACTAATGGGCCAAAAAATGGGCTTTCATGGAGTGATTCAAAATGGCCGTGGAGGCTGGAAAATCTGAAAAAAACGCATCTGCGCATGCGTCAGTCGGCACGAGCTCCATTCATTTAAACGAGAGACTTCAACAATTCACAGCGAGTAAACTAGAGTGGTCCAAAACACCCCCCTCAGCATTGACACACTGGGGACTTTTGCAAATCTATTCCAATGGGGTTTTACTGCAAATGGCAAATACAGTGAATCATTATACCACTGCCTCAGATATGATTAAATATTCATTGATTGCTGCTGTTCTGATACAGATGAGTTCAGTGTAAAGCCACAGTAGCTGCAGTAACAGTAGAAGTAGCAGTAGCAGTAGCAGCAGTAGCAGTAGTAGTAGAAGTAGAAGCAGAAGCTGTAGAAGTATTAGTAGAAGTAGTAGTAGAAGTAGAAGTAGCAATAGAAGTAGCACAAGCAGTAGAAGTAGAAGTAGCAGTAGAAGTAGGAGTAGGAGTAGCACAAGCAGTAGAAGTAGAAGTAGCAGTAGAAGTAGCAGTAGCAGTATAAGTAGCAGTAGCAGTAGAAGTAGCAGTAGAATTAGCACAAGCAGTAGAAGTAGCAGTAGAAGTACCACAAGCAGTAGAAGTAGAAGTAGCAGTAGAAGTAGAAGTAAAAGTAGTAGAAGTAGTAGTAGCAGTAGAAGTAGCAGTAGAAGTAGAAGTAGTAGTAGTAGTAGAAGTAGAAGTAGCAGTAGCAGTAGCAGTAGAAGTAGCAGTAGAAGTAGCAGTAGCAGTAGCAGTAGAAGTAGCAGTAGAAGTAGCAGTAGCAGTAGAAGTAGCAGTAGCAGTAGCAGTAGCAGTAGCAGTAGAAGTAGCAGTAGAAGTAGAAGTAAAAGTAGTAGAAGTAGTAGTAGCAGTAGAAGTAGCAGTAGAAGTAGAAGTAGTAGTAGTAGTAGAAGTAGAAGTACCAGTAGAAGTAGCAGTAGCAGTAGAAGTAGCAGTAGAAGTAGCAGTAGCAGTAGCAGTAGCAGTAGCAGTAGCAGTAGAAGTAGCAGTAGAAGTAGCAGTAGCAGTAGAAGTAGCAGTAGCAGTAGAAGTAGCAGTAGAAGTAGCAGTAGCAGTAGAAGTAGTAGTAGCAGTGGGACCTGGAAGTGTGGCTCCTTGAGGATGCGGACCAGCTCGTCGGCCGCCTGGCTCCTGTGAGTGAGAGGACTGAGCTCTTTGAGGATGTCCAGAACCAGCTCCATGTTGTTCTCCCGGACCGCCTCCAGTTTGGGCTCCTCCAGCCGGTCGTGGGCCTGGGACCAGACAACACCACCGTCACTTTCAAATCCACTTTTTAAATTTATTTATTTATTCAATATGGAGACAAGCTACATTGGACAGCCCAGGCTTCAGTGTTACCATGCTTTTAACCCTCTTACAACACAGACCTGGAGTTGTTTTTAGATCCATTCATGCTAATATCAGGAACTTCTGACAACAATATGTAGCTCCGCCCCTTTCAAACCAGTCTCAGTCCTGTAATACTGTGATGTCATTGGTCCGCTGCGACAGGAAAGTCCAAGCCAAGGCCCTCGATTTCATTTCCTGTAATGTCATGTGGCCCTCTGCGTCGCTAACAGAAAGAAGTCTTTGAAATCATAAACACAAGCTCACAGTGTCATCCAGCCAACTTCAGCTCTGCCAACATGGACTGCTCAGTCAGAACCTCTGCAACTGTGTTTGTGTATAATTATATTGGTTTTGGATTGTGTCACAAAGTTCAGTTAATGGTCAAAACGTAACTGTAGGTTAGCTGGTGATTCATCATTCAGCTAACTTCAGCTCTGCTATTGGTAAGTTTAAAGTCTGGTGAAGTAAAGTATTGCTCATACATTAGTTTTGTCAATTTCTCAGGTAAATAATGGTCTTTACAATAACGTGCCTTTGTTTGCAGACGATTATTTTCGAATGTGGAAACTGATTCAACTCCCTCTGGTGGTAGCACAGGGATATAGCATGTATTTTTGTACAGCCCTAAATAACAGTGATTATCTCTGAGGACTTTAAAAAAAAAAATTGCTAACACAGATCAGAGAATCAAACAGTTCAAACACAAAAAATGCAATGACAAAAAACACGTAGAGACATTGGTCCATTTGGGGCGGAGACCAATGTCCATAAATGTTGATAAAGTCCATAAATATTGTTGAATGTTGAGTGTCCTGGATCATCACCAAGAGACAAGACACCACTCTAAAATTATTCATCGTTGATACTTGTTTCACCAAATATTTAAAGTCTTATAAATTGTAATCGTCCATAATATTTCTTCTTTAACGCGTAAACCGGCTCTGACATTTGAGAGCGTTAAAAGAATAAGCGGTGGTTGCAGACAGAGCCTCTTGCTGCGCTGTAATAAAATGTTGCCAGGTTTGTGCAGGACGCTGGTTTTGATCCAGTCTCTGATAATTACAGAGGACAGACTAACCACGGTGTGCGGCGGGACCCTGCTGTGAGAGGGGCCCAGTCCTCGCTCTGCTAAACGCCACACACACTGCACTGACTCCGGGAAAGCTGTGCCCTGTAGGTGTTTCTGCTGTGAGACATCCATTCTTCATACAACATTACATTTTCACTGTGGCGTGCAGTTGTGATTGGCCGAGGCGCCTGCACCTCTGGTCCAGGGTCAGGGGGAAGTAAACACATGGTCACGGCGTTTGGAGAAAACACTGGGACGCAACACATGGTTCTGTGTCGAGAATAAAGTCATGAAAACAACACAAAAACAACGGAGTCTGAGCAAACTCTGAACGACTCAGAGGCGGAGGTGAACGAGTGGATCTGGGAAAGGACGGCAGAGTGGTTAGCAGTCTAGCTTCTCTGCAACGAAGGTCCTGGGTTCGAATCCTCAGGGGAAGAGAACGGGGACTTTCTGAGAGAAGTTTGCATGCTCTCCCTGTGCGTACGTTTCCTACAGGTGCTCCTGCTGTGTGTGTGTGTGTGTGTGTGTGTTACAGGTGAGGGGGGTTGAATCTTTGGAATCATCTTTTGTTCTGAAAAATTTAAACCAAGTATTAAGTATTTTACAGGTTGAAGTACTTCCCTTTGATACTTATTTTTACTTTACCCTTATACATTTTAAAGGGGATAGTCACTTTGCATTTGGCCACAGAGCATAACACATGTGGTTAGCCATGCTTCTAAGTGAATTAACAAATTGTGGGTAGCCAGGTGAACAAATTGATGTGTTCATTTAATTCTGTACTTTACAAATGTCACTTATTATGTTTTCAGCCAGATATGAAGATAAAATCCTGCCAGAATGGATACGTACTTCCTGCCAAGAGTTTATCTTCAAATCACACGTCGCAGCCGTTTATGAAGCAAAAGAGACAGAGTGGGAGAAAATACTCTGCGTTTGTGAGAGGTGTATTTTGTATCTTGTACTATGTGCATGTATCGTGTACAATATATGTACAAGTTTGAAATACTTGTATTATATTACATGATCTAATAAGGCACTTTTTTATAGACACTCAGAGATGGGAAACTATACTACTGTAGCCACAGATGCCATGGGGCAGACAGAGGCGATGTGACCAGACTCTGTCATCGTCCCCTCTGACCACCACCAACCATTCACACACACACCAGACTCTAATGTGGGTGAAGTGTCTTGCCAAAGGACACGACAACAATATGACAGTTTACAGCCGCAGCCGCCCCACTGTAGCACCTGCTGTTCCCAGAGGTCTCCCATCACAGTACTAACCAGCCCCTGCCCTGCTTAGCTTCAGAGGTCTGACAGAATCACACAGGAGCCACAACACATTCTGTCTGAAACATAAAGTGTTGTTTTAAGAGATTCAAAATACAATACAAAATTCAACTCAAATAAACATAGTGTCTATCAATAATTCAACAAATAGTTTGAAATATTTAGTTGTGTACTTTTGGATCTCTGACAGCGCCTCAGCTGATGCAAGGGCAGATGTAGAACAGAGGTAAAAACAAAAGTGGGAAAAACGTCTCCTGCTGCCAGTCATGATCCTGCTTCTGGCAAACAACACGGCGTCTCCACGGAAACATGTGTTTATGAGGCTGGCTGCTTTTTTTTATTTACCCATCATTATTAGCAATTACAGAGATGGAGGAGCAGGAGCCGCTTCCAGCCGCAGGTCAAGTGCTCCACACAATTAGAAGACTATTATTACGAGGACGGCGTTTAAAAGCAGCCGGTGCACAGGGCTCTGCTGGAGGTTTAGGTCTAAGCAGCAGTGTGGGGCTGATGACTCAACACTTATTTATTTGTTCCTCGTCACATCATCTCTGGAAATCCAGGCTTTACTTCTGAGACTTTAACTAATCCTGTGTCACTGTCAGTGTGGGGAAACATGAGAGTGAGGATATGAGGATCACAAAGAGACAAGTGTGTTACATTAATGACCGACATGACCCGGTCTCACTGAGAGGATGGTGCTTTCTCGGCTCTCATTAGGCAAAAGAATATAACAAAAATACTATAAGGAGAAAAAATAAGTACCGTGTAGCCAGTTCCTTGCACCTGACGACCTGGATAGCAATGCGGCCGTGTATGTACAAGCTAACAATAAACATGCTAATATGAGTTGGTATTTGCCTCCTCAGAGTTGATCGTGTTATTTACCTTTAGCTTTGTGTTGGTCCAAAAACATTGTCAAAGTGCTTTGTGTGGCTATATAATGAAGGATTATTTACATACTTGCTTTAAAACACGGTGTCATGTTGTGACCAGTTAAACCAGTAGTATATTCAGGCTCATACTCAAGTGTGGCCCATATTTGGATTACAAGTACTTTCTTTCCAAGTTTAGCTGGTGCAGTTTGGATACAGGTTTGTTCAATAGTTCAGAAAGTTTACAGGACAACAGCGAGCGTGGGTGGCATTCGATTTTCAGAAACCAAGTGATTGAGACAAATTAGGGCAATTAGTAGGTTTCCTCCAAGTCCCAATACAAATATTTACAAAAGGTGAAATCCTCCAGCTCCGGCCCTGACCCAGCCGAGCATCAGAGTCTGGGGATGGGCCCTGACAGACATTTAGCATGTTTTGGGGAAGTTTCAACAGTCCATAATTTCTGTAATTAAAATGTGAAATGACTAATATATCATACAGACTTATTCCCTGCAAAGCGACAAAAGTCCAGCGTTTGTTATTATGTTAATGATGATGATACAGTCCAGTTTTTACAAGCTGCGAGTCAATCATCAACATTATAACAACTAAAGGATCTCTCTCTCTCTGTGTGAACTGAGTCATAAATTAGCTTCACATTGTAACTGGACTTTTGAAAGAGTTTCGCCAACACACGACTGGAGCGCTTTACACTTTGATGACAAAAAGAGAGAAAATGCAGCATCATAAAAGTCCATGTTAGTTTGTATAACTCGTCCAAGTGAGTCTTAGCATTTTGTCAAAGAATAAAAGAGAAAAAAGCAACAGGCCATTAGCTCTAATCATCTCTATTAAAGCGGTCGATGGCACCATGGATGATAAATGGTGCATTAGGAGGACAACAAAGCAACAGCTGTGGAATGCTGATGTCGTACAAGGGAAGTCTGAGTCTGTAATGATAGCGAGAGGGGCGTCTGTCCGGGCGTCTGTCCGGGCCTCTCTCTGGGCCTCTCTCTGGGCCTCTCTCCGCTGGCCTCAGAGTGTGCTGCAGCTGCCATCCTTCACTCGGACCGCAGAGCCAGACGGCAGAGTCGGGGGGAGAGCGCTGCGACAACTGGTTAAAACAATCCACCAGACACAACAACAGCCTTTTCATTCATTTCACTGAAGAGGCAGCAGAGAACAGCTGAGGGTGGAGCAGAGAACAGCTGAGGGTGGAGCAGAGAACAGCTGAGGGTGGAGCAGAGAACAGCTGAGGGTGGAGCAGAGAACAGCTGAGGGTGGAGCAGAGAACAGGTGATGGTGGAGGAGGGAACAGCTGAGGGTGGAGCAGAGAACAGCTGAGGGTGGAGCAGAGAACAGCTGAGGGTGGAGCAGAGAACAGCTGAGGGTGGAGTGGAGAAGAGCTGAGGGTGGAACAGAGAACAGCTGAGGGTGGAGCAGAGAACAGGTGATGGTGGAGTAGAGGACAGCTGAGGGTGGAGGAGGGAACAGCTGAGGGTGGAGCAGAGAACAGCTGAGGGTGGAGCAGAGAACAGCTGAGGGTGGAGCAGAGAACAGCTGAGGGTGGAGAAGAGAACAGCTGAGGGTGGAGCAGAGAACAGCTGAGGGTGGAGCAGAGAACAGCTGAGGGTGGAGCAGAGAAGTTGCTCTCTGGGTGAAAAAGGTTAGAGACACCTAGACTGTGTGTGTGTGTGTGTGTGTGTGTGTGTGTGTGTGTGTGTGTGTGTAGGTGCATGTGTAAGAACATGTCGGTGTGTGTGTAGGAGTGTGTGTGCAAGTGTGTGTGCATAGGTGAATGTGCGTGTAGGTGCGTGTGTCGATGTGTGCGTCTGCGTGTTTGTGCGTATGCATGTTCTGCGTGTGTGTGTGTTTGTGTGTACTTGTGTATGTGTATGCGTGTATGTGCTTGGGTGTGTAGCTGTAAGTGTGTGTGTACTTGTGTACGTGTGGGACCATGTATGTGTGTGTGCATGTATGTGCTTGTGTGTGTAGCTGTAAGTGTGTGTGTGTGTACTTGTATATGTGTATGTGTGTGACCATGTGTATGTGTGCATGTATGTGCATGTGTGTGTAGCTGTAAGTGTGTGTGTGTACTTGTATATGTGTATGTGTGTGACCATGTGTATGTATGTATGTGCTTGTGTGTGTAGCTGTAAGTGTGTGTATGTGTGCCTCTTTCTCTCAGTGCTGCTGTAAATCCTCCAAGTTTAAAAGTCACTGCAGGTTTGTGTTTGTGATTAACGATCAAAAGAAAACCCAGACGGTGAAACATGAGCAACTTCACTCAGAAGGCGAGGAGTGAGGAACCTGGATAAGAGGCGGAACAGAGGGAAAAACAAGAACAAAACACCTGGACATTTTGTGAACCACAAAAAGCTCCAAAAGTATTGAGTTATTGCAGCAGACTGTGGCCGCTCTCCGTCTGCAGCGACTCAGAACCAAACACTGTGGACCTGCTTCCACTAATGCAGCAGAGACACACATCTGCGACACTTCTATGGAATATACACACCCGGCATGGACAGAACTGCAGAAGATCTTTTTTAAATCCCAAAATAATGATAATAATAAAAGTACGTTTTTTATATAGCGCATTTTTACAGACCAAAATCACCAAAAGTGCTTTACAATGTGCATCAAAGATAAGAAACTACAGCCTCATCTGCAGACACTCATACTACAGCCTTTCTCACGATACTCATCCATCCATCCATCCATTTTCTTCCCCTTAATCCATTCCTGGGTCGGGGGGTGGCAGTCAGTGATGCCACCCATGTCACATTAACAGATGTTCATTCAAAAGTCCACAGCGGCTTAACTCGGTCGGTCCAAAAAAAAACTAAAAAATCCCCTCAGCATTAGCAGCATCTAGAACTTAGGGCTGAAGCAAGAGCAACTTTTGGACCAAGCTCTAAAGCCATTTTTGAGAGGAAAAAAAGTCCCATAAGAACACATAGGATAATTCTATTTCCGGGTACACCCCCACCGTCAAGGAGTCAGATTTTAAGCATGTCAGTGCAGTGTCTAGAATAAACATTCCCCCAAACACAATTCCACAAACCAAAGGTTCCTTCATTCCTAGTGTGTCCAAATGAACAAAATGTGAAAGAAATTAACTTTAAATCGCTCCATTATAAATGTGTAATGTTTGTATGAATTAAACTCTTTAATGTAATTATTGAAACATTAACTTCAATAAATGAGAGTTGCCTCTAACCGCAGCTACAGAATGAGGTTGCAATCTCACAACACTAATAATTAAAAAGTCACAACAGATTTTAAATGAATAAGTCTTGCTTCAGGCTGTGTGTGTTTTGAGGAGCACATATCACAGTTTTGTCGCTACAACATCCCGAATGAAACAGCGGAAAATTGAATTGTGCCGATTGCATAATAATAGTTTCAGTGTGTGTAGCCCCGGCCTGTGTGTGTAGCCCCGGCCTGTGTGTGTAGCCCCGGCCTGTATGTGTAGCCCCGGCCTGTGTGTGTCTGGTTCAACAGGAGACCATGCTCTGTGGAAACATTGTGTTTTATGGTAATTAGTTCTTTATGTCTTTATGTTGTTGCAATGCCCTGCTGCAATACTGTGAACAACCACATAATAACGGACACAGAAGTATATAAGTCTAATATTTATACTGTTTTTGTATAAATACTGAATAAAGCAGCTCTGTCTATCCAAGAACTCGCACCAAAGAACATCTGTGACATGTTAGTGCCAAGGAACCACCTCGGACTCTGAGGAGCACAGGGACTGGCCTCCTGCTGGGACTCTGAGGAGCACAGGGACTGGCCTCCTGCTGGGACTCTGAGGAGCACAGGGACTGGCCTCCTGCTGGGACTCTGAGGAGCACAGGGACTGGCCTCCTGCTGGGACTCTGAGTCAGAACTAAACATGGGGAGGCAAAATTTCAGATTTATGCAGCTAAAATCTGGAAAATCAGTCTTCCTGAAAATGTGAGACAGGGTAGGTTACAACAGTTCTTTTTGCTGTGTCTTCATTCTTTTTAATGCACTGTGATTATTTCTTTTAATGCCTTGTGTGAGTGTAAATTGTTTTGTTGAGCACTTTGAGTTGCCCAGTGTATGAATTATACAATAAAAACTTGCTTTGCCTTTGTGCGTGCATCATGATGGTGCAGTTTGAGCTGAGACAGTAAGGTGACAGTAGATATTGATGTGCATCTCCCAGTGCGCCTGCTGCTGTCAGAGCGATCACAGGTACTAGTGTAGCAGTGTAGTGTAATGTGAACGCACAAACGCCTGTTAAAACTGACAGACGGCTCCAACAACACAACGCAGCCACAGCATTTGTCTTTCCAATATAGATGTTGTCCAGTGCTGTCAGTCTGAGTGTGTGTGTGTGTGTGTCTGAGTGAGTGTGTGTGTGTCTGAGTGTGTGTGTCTGAGCCGAGGGCTGAGAGCTCTGCCTTAAAGACTTTAGTGATGTGCTGTGCTCCTCGTGCTCATCTCCGTGGAGACGAGATGGAATGTCACTGGCCACATCTGTTTAGAGCCAAGTTCTGTTTAACCAATAAAACACTGAGCCATTATTGTGCTAAAGCTAGAGATTTGTTATTGTTCATTTATTGTGTGCTGTGTGCTCCTCATTCCTACTGTCCTGTAACTGCTAATGCAACACTGACATTTCCCCACTGTGAGACTGCAGAGGACATTCTCGGCACACGACTGGACTGAACCTGACGGGGTTTTGGTCTGTGTCGGGTCCTGTCTCCACACTGGTCCTGACCGTACTCACCACGGGACTCTCCATGATGCCTTTGAGGAAGATGAGGTCCAGGTCGTTGGCGGTGGTGGAGCTGGTGCTGTCGCTGAGCGTGTCCAGGGCCTGGTGCATGGCTGAGCAGACGCACACACACAACACAACAGAAGAGAAGAGAAGTAAGTAATGTTTATTTATACAGCGCATTTTGCAGACCAAGGTCATCCAAAGCGCTTTACAATGTTCAGAGTTCATATATTGTTCCGATCATTCCACACACGGTGATGACGGAAGCGAGTCGCCGAACACACTGCACCACCAGCCCCCAACCAACACCATCCATTCACTCTCTCATTTACATTCAGACCTATTGTGCATGTTTTTAGTGGTAGGGGAAACTGGAGCATCCGGAGGAAACCTACACAGACACGGGGAGAACATGCAAACTCCACTCAGAAAGGCCCTGTTCCGATCTGGATTCAAACCCAGGACCTTCTTGCTGAGAAGCGAGAGTGCTATCCGTGCCGCCCATGAGAAGAGAGAGACTTTATTCACTCCAGAGGCTCCCCATCCTGCACTGCCTCATGGGAAATGGACTGGGTGCAGGGAGTTGACACTACACAGCAAAACAAGCATGTGGAAGAGCGAGGAGGGAGGGAGGGAGGGAGGGAGGGAGGGGGAGGGAGGGAGGGGGAGGGAGGGAGGGAGGAAGACTCACATCCTTTCCCAGGCAATTTCACCTCCGTCACTCAGGCCTCTGCACAGACAGTCACAGGCCACTATCTGCAGCCACACAGCTTCAGGCGCACACACACACACACACACACACACACACACACACACACACACACACACACACACACACACACACACACACACACACACACACACACACACAGACACACACACTATTATTCTGGCAAACTTTTGTCCAAATAACAACAATTAAATTCACAATAATGGCATCATGATGATTGCAGGGGCTGATTACTTCTGCCGTCTCACTCTGTTTTGATAAATCCATTTTCTTGCAAGACATGGAAGTTGCATTGTTAAAAAAGATATTAATTTAACATTTGGTTTAGAAATGATAACAGTTATTTTCGAGGGCAGAAATATAGTTTGTAATTGCTTGAGATTTGAGTTGAATAGGATTGAATCAGGATCTAATTATTGGGTCTTTCTCCTTTTTCTCTCTCTCTCTGGTCTCGTCATGTTTTGATACTGTCCATTATAAAGTCTGTTTTGTATTTCTTTGACTGAGCGTAAAACAGTTTCAATACAATTACTACGCTCTGCATGAATATTATGTGACAGACCTGAGATTCTCTGGTTTTATCTCAGCGCTAGTGCCACAAAAGTACATAATATCTCTAAGATTAAGTATTTATAACTACTTTTGGACAATGTATCATTTTACACTAATAATAATGTTTTATAGGACCAGAGGGGTTTATACATTTGTTTATAATGATAGAAATGTGTAATTATACTGTATGTGCTGTACGTAGCATCTACACAGTATCTTCTTTCAACACTACAGCTCTGGCCCCAAGACTGTCTCACTGAACCAGTCCAATCGACAGTCCAAGGTCTGAACCAGTCCCAACTACAGTCCAAACTGAATTGGTCCCAAATGAACCGGTCCAAACCTCAGTGCAGCCTCAGGTCCTCACATTGGGAAGCCTCCAGGACCCGGACAGCTGAGAGCACATTCATCACACAGATAACAGTGTCAAAGTGACTGCTGATTATGCAGCCTCTGTTCAGGAGCTTTGTTTAAGTGAGTCCAGCAGCTCCAGCTTTAAATGAGTCTATAGCTTTAAATAAGATATGGCCAAATACTCGCAGTTTCTACTAAATTAAGCAATCTGTCATTTCCTGAGGCGAGAGTCCAGCAGGAGCTCACCATTAACGAGATTGGACTCTTGAAGTGTTTTAGAGGCACAGACTCAGACTAACAACAAATACTGCAGCAGTTTAGGCAATTATTATTAAAGACTGCGGCAAATGTGAAGAGATGAAAAAGCTGCTTAAACAATGGTCGAGAAAAATGAACTTAAAAAGGACAAAGCAACAATCTTTGACACTGCAGATGAGAAAGCAACGACTTCAAATCCTCAAGAAGGAGTTTTGTCGTCACTGATGTAGTGTCAGAGAAAATAAGAAGTTTAACACTAGAGCAGTCTATTTGACGGTTTGTCGTTTTGGAAGTGTATTCACCGCTCATGTACATATTCAGACATTTAGATTTATCTGTCGTTTATTTCTACACCATTATCTGTATGAAACTATCTTTTATTATTGAAATGTGAGCCGTTCTAGCTTTGACTCCATTCATTTAATTGTACAGTTCATATTAGGGGTGTGACGATATATCGATTTTTCAATATATTGCGATACTTTCTCCCGCGATTCGATTATTGATATGCATTTGCCAAGTATCGATATTGATTTTGAAAAAAATAATAATTAGAATTTTTTTTTTTTTATCTTTTACATTTATTTTTTTAAATTGGTATCAATACTTAATATATTGCTACATTACGCATCTCCATTCTATTTATCATGAAATAAAGTGTATTTTTTCTTTTATTTATGCCATAAATTGGCATATTGTATATCTCTAACCAATATATCAATAATCGTCATATTGTGATAAAATCGTTATCGTGATATCAATATCGTGAGCTTTGTATCGTCTCGTATTGTGAGGTACCCTTAGGTTCCCACCCCTAGTTCATATGTGCAACAGCAAAAGCCCTTTTGTGGTGGTGCTGGTCCTGGTTCTGAGCCGGGTCAGCTTGGTACTGGTGCTGGCAACACTGTTTACGTCACAGGATTTGGTAGATTTTCAAAACTGTTTCCTGTTTTACAAGTTATATTTAGTCCTATAGTGTTAAAGGTGCAGTAAAGGATTTCGTTAGCTTAGCAGTAGCATCCGAGTCGACACCACTTGCAGCACATGAACGCCGTTTCAGTAATAACTTAGTCTGTGTTTGAAATGTGAAAGTATTACACTAAATTAGGGCTCAACTCTGAGTGATTTGCCGCCAACAAATTAGCAAATATCAAAACTCGACTGTCTGCTTAACGGAGTCCTGGCTGCGTCCAGAGTCTTCTTATACAACACCATCTGATTTACTCTTCTTTGCCACAACAGGGCGAGTAGCAAACGGGAAATTGGTTTTCGGTTCAGCCAGTGTAGGTGTTTTAGAAAATCTGACTCAGACAGGTGCCCTGACGAAAAGCAGGAGGGGGGAGAGGGGGGAGAAGGGGGAGACGGGGAATGAACGCATCTCATAGATTTTTTTCTATCGATCCGCTCCAAAATATGTATTATTTATTTTTTGAGTCTACAGGCATCTGGTCGTGTCCATTCCTGTTTGAAAACACATGATAACTTCACTACTTTTGGAGTTTAGGGACGTTTCCCCACAGTATCTTAAAAAATGCATCTGGATAAATCATTGACCAGATTGAGCAGATTCACGTTAGCTCGTTGATTCCATTGTTAACCTTGTTTATTCTGAAAACAACAGGTTATAACTGAGACACAGGTATACCATAACTACCCAACACAAAAGCACACCTATAACAGTAGGTTTTTTGTTCAGTGGAGCCTCCTGTGATGTGGCGGTGAAGCACTTTGCGTTACGTTGTGTAGGAAAAGCCCTCGAAAAATGAAGCTTGATTGAAATATTAAACTTTTTTCAGGCTGGAATCAGTGTCTGAGTCGCATTAACAAAATTGTACCTGGCAACTAATGTTCTACAGTCTCTACAGTCTCCACAGTCTCCACAGTCTCCACAGTCTCCACAGTCTCCACAGTCTCCACAGTCTCCACAGTCTCCACAGTCTCCACAGTCTCCACAGTCTCCACAGTCTCTACAGTCTCTACAGTCTCCACAGTCTCTACAGTCTCTACAGTCTCTACAGTCTCTACAGTCTCTACAGTCTCTACAGTCTCTACAGTCTCTACAGTCTCTACAGTCTCTACAGTCTCTACAGTCTCTACAGTCTCTACAGTCTCTACAGTCTCTACAGTCTCTACAGTCTCTACAGTCTCTACAGTCTCCACAGTCTCCACAGTCTCCACAGTCTCCACAGTCTCCACAGTCTCCACAGTCTCCACAGTCTCCACAGTCTCTACAGTCTCTACAGTCTCTACAGTCTCTACAGTCTCTACAGTCTCTACAGTCTCTACAGTCTCTACAGTCTCTACAGTCTCCACAGTCTCCACAGTCTCCACAGTCTCTACAGTCTCCACAGTCTCCACAGTCTCCACAGTCTCTACAGTATGTACAGTCTCCACAGTCTCCACAGTCCCCACAGTCCCCACAGTCTCTACAGTCCCCACAGTCCCCACAGTCTCCACAGGTTTCAGGCAGAACAGGAAAGGGATGGGATCTGAAGAGGGACATTTTAGTCAAGAATCACAGTTTCTGCAGTTCTCGAGGCTGGAAGCTGAGAAGAAACATCATCAGCCCATTTCAATACTTCCTGTAGATGCATTTTCTATTTGTCTGGAATGCTCCGTTTAGAGTTCTAAAGTCACACGTCTCATGTCGCAGTCTGTGTATACAGCAGTTAACCGTTCATCTATGACTCAAATAGTTCATTAAGGAAAAAAAACCTGTATAACCTGAACCTTCACTGAGTCCCTTTAACCCAGACCCTCATGCTGCTAACATGTACAGATTTATACAACTGTGTCTGCACTAGAACATACAGGATTTTAAACTTGCTCCTTATTATGCGAATGTGAGGGATTTTTTTACATTAAGTCTTGCTTCTTCATCATGCTAAAGCTAAAGTTGGAGATTTTAGACCCGTTTCCTTATTATACCAATGATAGATATTTTATACTGCTTCTTTTTATGCTACAGTTATAGATTTAATTTTTTGATTTCATCTTGTGCTGTGTGTTCCTCATTCCTACTGTCTGAAACTTGTGATGCAACACTGAAATTTCCCCACTGTGGGACAAATAAAGGATCTCGTCATCTTAACAAGTTGGGATAAATCCTCGTGATGTGATGTTTCAGACAGACATTGACACTGGCCTCCTGTCGGTGACTAGAACACACTTCTTTGTCCTTCTCTCTCCTCATTGGATCAGACGACACAATCTGGT